CTGCTACAAGACTCGGCACACTCACTGGTGAGTGAGCCCCAGTGAACACACTTCAGGGTACATGTGCCTAGACAGTATGGTAATCACAGGCACAATCCCTTCCACAGTGCACAGAATCAAGATTCCAGCATCTTACTATTAAGCAAAAAAAATAAATTAAAAAACTGACTACTTAGATGTTCTGGTTTTGAGGACAGCAGCCTTATCGCAACATGCAGCAATAGTGGGTAACTACCATTAAGGCTCACGAGAGAGGCTGTTTTGGTCCAGGTCAGCCTGAGGTCTCTTCTGATCATGAATTTGAAAAATCCAGAGTGGAAGAATCAGTCAGGCCCCATCACATCCCAGTGCCAAAATGTACACGATATGAGATGTTTAGAGATCATCCTTTCTCCTCTGTTTAACCCTCCAGACTGGGCATATATTCCCACTAGAAGTTTGACCCAACCCCGGAGACTTCTGCAAAGCCGCTAAACTAGCACTCTCAAAACACAGCTGCCTCAGAACAGAAAACTTGCCTGGGGTCATCAAGAATTGTGCCATATTCTTCTTCAGGTCATTGCCTATCGATGAGATGGAAGAGGCAAGCAGGGCAACTACTGCAACAAGCCAGCGCTTTTCTCCTAGGGAATGTGCGCGATTCAAATGGCATTCCATGACTTGCTGCTTTTGCTCCAGTGTCATATCCCTGCTGCTGAGTCTCTCCTCTCTTCTCAGTCAACAACCACCCTTCCTCTAGAGCCTCATGAAGGAGGTACCACTTTTCTGCAACTGGTCCAAAATAGGGTCTTGGAATGCTCCTCCTCCTAAATATTGTCCCACCATTAAAAATGATACAGAAGTGGATGCTGAAGTTGTGCTATCGTACTTCAGTACCTGTTCGCTTTATATACTGCTTGTTTTAATGCAGAAGCGAAACACAGTCGGCTCATAATGCCACTTCAAGTTTCAGGGGCCACTCTTTTTAATATACTGGACCTTTCTGTTGGGTGCGCAGTGGCAATTGCAACAACAACATAATTCAGGGGTGGGTTAAAACCCCAGATTCTACAGTTCCAAGAGGTAGATGGGCGAATGCATAAAACATGTGCTACATCAGACAGTGATGCAGCCTGGTAATCTTGGACCCTGGACTAAATGATCTAACGGGGGGTGAGGGTTCAGACTTAGACCACTATGTGTGTTACATCAGTTAGAAAGCACACAGCTAACATTTCTCTTGCCTCCAAATACCACTGTATGCTTTACAACTTCTTTTAAAACTGCTGTTAACAGTTAATTGCAAGAAAAAGAGCAACAAAATGGCTTGCCCGATTATTATTATTATTATTATTATTATTATTATTATTAAATACATACTCTGGACATGAGCAGTTTTGTGATTATAAAACTCACTGATGGCACCAGGATAGTAAACTGGAGTTTCACTCGCCATTCTCTTGTGGTCATTTTGGGATGGGAAGACTAAACTGCAGTGCCCTGAACTTTAGCCCAGCAGCTAGCCTTAGCTGCAGCACTGCATGAGGCTTCTAATCTGCCACTTTACTGAGGTCTCTACTTTCTTTGTGGAATTAAATCTGGCTCTTCACATCTCCCCCCCCCCCCCCGGTTGCTTTCTCTGACCTTCTGCATGTTCCATTATACAGCCACAGATGACACTGTGGAATAGGGAAATTGCCCTGATACGTGGGAGTTTCATGCCACCATTCATAGATATGCCAGACTTTCCTGGTAAAGAGGAAGAGGAAGAAGAAGCTAAAATGGTTCCCAAGCACAGGGGAGAACCCGGAGAAGAAGAACAGTGTGTAAAGCACCTGCGGATTCCCATGTATGGGAGTCAAGAGTGCACACTGAATGCCTCCTATAGAAAAGTTAAATGTGCAAAAGCAAGCTCTGGAAAACAAGTGACATCCAAGGAAGTGGGCTAAGAGTGTTGTTCTGGAGACAGCCTAAGATACTAGGAAGCAGGATCAGCCTACTGAAGAAGGTGACTTCTCCCTCCACAGTGTTAGCTTTCACTGAGGAATTCGATATAGAATATAAGCCTAGCACGCATAGTCTCTACTACTATGGAATTTTGGGCCCCTTACTCCATACATCCCCTTGGAGTCTATTCCATCACGGCAGAAGAAGTGAGCCCAGTGGAAGTCCCTGAAATACCCCAATGCATTTTTGCATAGACTGATTTTCCTTAAGGAATAAAACAAGTAATCCGCTATGTGTAGATCTTTAGCCAAGTCTATTTCTTCCTTTGATAGATGGAGAGGTGGAGAGGACAGAATATTTTTAGCAGTGGCTTAAGGCAATAGGAAGGATTATTCCATCCCTGCTCACTGCAATGAAAGATATTCCAAAATTAGCCTTTTAAATTCATAGCATACTTGGTGAGCAAGTAATTAAAGGAAGTAAAGCCAAGCTATCCCTTTGTCAATGTTATACAATAATGGTCCAAGGCACTATGAGTTAGATGGACCTAATCCTGCAGTGCAAATCTAGTAGCACTGATGCTATTATACAGTAGTGAAGTACTTCAAATTGTATATAGTTAGAAAAATCATTACAGCTTCTTTTTAGACTTTTCAGTGTTTTTTTCTTTTTCTTTACTAGCCTCTTTTTAAACCTTTGCAGCACACATTGCCACGACTATCAAGAGGGATAGAAATGGCCTTTCTTTGGCAGAGGCGGGGAAGAGGCCAAGCACTGTCCACTGCCTCATTCTCAAAATGTCCATTTTGCCTGGGGAATTGGCTTCCACTGCATTCATCCATATCGACACACAAACTGGACCAGTAAGCAAGCTGCCTGAGTGCAGGACACTTGCAGGATTCAACTGATTTTCTGGTTGGGAATTGCACTTGTGCTCCATTTTCAAAGGTTGCCTGCTCTTCTGGAATGTAAACACACACATACACAAACACAGTGCATGCTCAAATAATGTTCATCAGCAACTCAGGATTTGCAACTGTGAGGAGTCCTCCTGACAGCCTCTGGGGCCAAACCTATCCTTCACACAAGGCAGTCTGGAATTTGAGATGGATCAGAAGAAGGGTATTTGCTCACTGCCTTCATTCTCTTAATAGTCCTATTAATTTCAGATGCATCTTTCCTGAGATGTTGATAGCAGAAAGGGCTTTTATTGAAGCGCTGTCCTGCTACCCCTTGAGAATAGAAGCTGTGGCATCAACAGGGTGCCAATTCAGGATGCCAGTCTATGAAAAGAAGTCCATCCAATAGTGCTATTGCCTCTTTGACTCTGCTACAAGTTCTGCTACCAAGTAATACTTAGGCTTCTTTTTTAACAGATTGATTGTCTGAGAGTAGATATGGACTCTTTTCACTCTAACCTGAAGAACACTGAGCCCACTGCAAGGTAACAACATTCCAGTGAAAAACTAAACTCCTAAGCCATGCTGCACATATCCACACATGCACACAGTCACATCCTCAGCTGCTGGAGTCAGCTGGTGCCACGAAGGCCCATTTCCAAAGGGCAACTTGACCCATACCCAATGAAGTGACCTTGGTCTGGCACTACTGCATAAGCCCATGAGTTGCCAGAAGATGCATTAACAACTTAAAGCCAGATTGGGTACAATTCAACATAGTTCTGATGAAGTCACTGGCCCTCTGTACCTTTGCACCTTAGCTGCAAATCTCAAACTGTTCACACTTCTAAGTACTACAGGCAATCCCTGTGGACTCTGATCTAATACATTTGTATATCAAACTTTGCTTAACATTTGGTAGCAAGTATCATCCAGAGAGCTTTTAAACACAGATACACCTGAACTTGTTTCCACCTCTGGTCAGCTATAGATTCCTGCATATGATGCCACTATTAATTAATTACCAGTTGCTCCTTACATGTGGAAGACAGGTGTGTACTTTTCACATCACCTTCCTTAGCTTGTACACTCATACAAGCAAACACTTGGGGTATCGGCCTCACTTATCAAATTTGTGGTCAGCACCATAACCCTTCCCCAGCTGAAAGCCTTCAGTATTATTTTCTTTTATGTCCATGAATCTCCTTCAAGCCACTGGAGAATCTAGAGACACTATAAACAGGTATATTCTATCATCTACTTAAGAAAATAGATATATTTTTGTGTATTAAATATTAAGATCCATGCAACAAATATCCATGCAGCTGTACTGTAATACTGGTTAAATTTCACTGCAGTGTAAATATATCCTAGGCCACAGCTTAGTTGCTCCAGCATTTGAAACAAGATGCTTTTCAGTTCTGTTCTGAATATGTTGGTGACCTCCAAACCAGCAAGGATGCTCGTGTGGGGCTGGGGGGCAGGGGGGGAGTTGTTGTTTTTTAATGTCTCCAGGCTTCTGATGTATCTCTACCAAAGCAACAGAAAATGTCCTACTAAACAGTGCCTCCTGCGAGCCTCACACTGACATGCTGCAGTGGATGAATCCAATGCAGCATTTTTGTTGAGAAGCTTGACCCTGCATGGTTTATTCTCCCTTTGGCATTTCTGATCTGGAAATCTGAACCTTAAAGTAATCTGGACGGATGTTCCATTAATTAAACTATGCATGACCTTTTGTATAATTCCTGAAGCTGGAAAGCTAGAATGATGTATAGTTGCATATTATTTCCTTGGGATATATTTTTGCATGGACTGAGTTCTATATTAAACGATAAGTATCTAGTTGGCATTTGGTAGTTCCTGTTGTTTACATGGGACGACTGTTGGTTTTGTTTTTCTCCAATGCCTTTCATTTGATATTGTGACATAATTTTGCCTTAAATGCTCCATAGACTTGGAACCCCAGAAATCTGTGATGGACAAAAGGATTGCATGAAAGCTTATTGAGCATCAAATGTTAAAAAGAGTCACTTACACAACTATTGCTTCCCATGCAGAACCAATACATGTTGTAGAACATATTGTATTAACTACAATGCAAGGTATTATGCAACATCTGCAGTTGTTCCACTTGAGTTTAAATATGTTATTAGGGTTCCTTTTTATTATTAGTTAGACATCAGTTAGCATTTTGGTTATATTAACATAGTTTGTGTTAGCTAGGGTGCAATTGGCTGTTTTCAAGTTCTCCTCTCTAAAGTCCTCATTGCTATTATTCACACCTTCTTGTATCTCCATATAATCAGACTTACTAATAGTGGAGGCACTTCTGCTTTTCTTTAGGTCAGGGGAAGAAGGGATCTTTGGGCAGCTGGTGACTTGCAAGTATTGAGCTTGCTCCTCTCCCTCTGTCTCACGGTGATAGAAGTAGTTGAAATTGGACACTATAACCGGCACTGGTAAGGCAATTGTTAATACACCTGCAATGGCACACAAGGAACCAACTATTTTCCCACCTATGGTTGTGGGGACCATGTCTCCATAGCCAACTGTTGTCATGGAAACCACGGCCCACCAAAAAGCATCAGGAATGCTGGGGAACTGAGATTCACTCTCGTCAGCCTCTGCAAAGTAGACAGCACTGGAGAATAGGATGACACCAATGAAGAGGAAAAATATCAAGAGGCCTAGTTCCCGCATGCTGGCCTTGAGGGTTTGTCCCAGGATCTGCAGTCCCTTGGAGTGCCTGGAGAGTTTGAAGATCCTGAACACTCTCACCAGACGGATCACTCGGAGGATGGCAAGAGACATTGCCTGCTGGCCTTGCTGGCCATCTTCTGGTTTCTCAGCCAGTTCTGTTCCCAGGGTGATGAAATACGGGATGATGGCGACAATGTCGATGATGTTCATGATGTTGGTAAAAAAGCCAGCTTTGCTGGGGCAGGCAAAGAATCTCACTAAGAATTCAAAGGAGAACCAAATGATGCAGAGTGTCTCAACTATAAAGAAGGGGTCTGTAAAGGATGTTGGCTGCTGATGCCCCATTGTGCCATTGATATTATGGCTTGGGTTGCTGCTGCCGCTATGCATGTCATCATTCTCATCCCGGAACACAGGCAAAGTTTCCAGGCAGAAGCTCACAATTGAGATTAAAATGACCATGACAGAGACAATTGCTATAATCCTGGCTGGTCCAGAGCTTTCTGGGTACTCAAAGAGCAGCCATACTTGTCTCTGAAACTCATTCTCTGGTAAAGGCCGTTCTTCTTCCTTGATGTAGCCCTCATCCTCCCGAAACATCTCCATAGCTTCTTCCCCAAGTTCATAAAACCTGATCTCTTCTGAGAAGATGTCCAAGGGCACATTAACAGGCCGCCTCAACCTGCCACCAGATTGGTAGTAGTACAAAATAGCATCAAAGCTGGGTCTGTTTCGGTCAAAGAAATACTCATTCCGGAGAGGATCAAAATATCTCATTCTCTTTTTAGGGTCCCCTAACAAAGTCTCTGGAAATTGAGCAAGTGTCTTAAGCTGTGTTTCAAATCGCAGTCCCGAGATGTTAATGACCACCCTCTCACAACATTCATGATCTGTTTCTGGGTTATAGGTGTCTTGAGGGTGACCAGGCAAAGCTGCTGCTTCATCTGTGGGGTCTCCAGTAGCAACGGTCATATTTAAGCCTTTAATCAAAACTTTCCTGAATGTCTGGAGGGGGTGGAATAAGGTTCACAGGGACTCTAATATCTGTTGGACTGGTATACACATGGGCTTGGGAGTGGCTCATGAAAACGATCAAAACAGGAGATCAAAATGTGAGTCCAGCTGAAAGAGAGAAATAAATGATAATATGAGCATTGCCCTCAACTTTCAGAAGAATCTCTATTTCACACAAAATGTCTTGGTTATTTTTAATTTGCCTCCTCGGCGTAACTTGATGGCTGATGGGAGGCTCTCACATCCCCACACTGTGCTATTTAAGAAGGGTTGAATGGTACAAGAAGAAATGGGGAAAGCTTTCTTAACAGGCAAGCTCCATAGCACAGCATGTTTTTCATAGCCTGCACTGTTTATTCAAAGAACTTGAAAGACTGCTCTGACTTTATTCCTGCACTGAAGCATTCAGGTTTACCCATGTGGCACCTGAGACTTCAGCATCCACCTCTAGGAATACCCTAGGGGCCCAGAGACAGTTAAGCATCAAACCCTCTGTTGCATCAAGCGTTCCAGTGTACATTTAACACGCTGGGTTCTTGATTTTACCTCCAGGTTGTGCAGTACAGTCTCCCTTGCCTCCCCCCCCCCCCCCACATGCTCCCTTCTCTGCTATGTTTTCAGTTTGCAAGCGCTATCTCTGCTGCCTTCCCTTGCTGCATTTCTGCACTGAAGCTCCTCTCCTGCAATTGCCAGAGGAATAATACCACATGAGGAAAGAACTTGCATTACCTGGCAGAGGATATCTCAGGGTCTGTGACACCAATTCTCTGACCTTAGAAAGAAACAGAGACTGGTTTCTGAGATCCCCATAAGTTCCTCTGGCAATTAAGTCATGAAAAAAGGAAAGAAAGTCCCAAATGCAGAGTCTAGATCTGATTATGAGGTGGAGATTGGACAAAGGAAAGGATTCCCAGTAGCTGTTGCAGCCCTTCCTTCAGGACAGTCTCTATCTGAATAAACCTTTTGTATGATACAAGGAAGATGCCACACTCAGCAAAACCTGATGTCCCCAGTGTCCTCAAGAGGTGTGACGTTGCCTGGAAAACCAGCAGTAAGACAAAACCGGCAGAGCTTGAAAACAGCATCTGCAAAGACCCAGTTTTCAAACGCAGCCCTTTCCTTGCCGAGCTGTTTCACAAGCTCTAGCTCTCCTGCATGAAATAAGAGAAGGAACCGTGGCAGCATGAAAAACATCTCCCTGTGTGTCTCCTTCTCTCTTTAACACAGACACACACACACAGAGACAGACACAGACACACACGTACAGACAGCTGTGCACTGTTGAAGGTTGAGAAGTGGTAGTCTACACACCATTTGTCATTGATGTCGTTCACACAGCCCGGCTGGCGCAGGCTCCTCTGCAGTGTGGTCTCTCTCCTGGTCTTTCTTCTCAGCAGAAGAATCCGTGCGTTATGCTTTCTGCCACACATAGCTCACCCAGCTGCAGCTGGGTCCACATCAGAGAAGCTCTGGCCTTCATGCCGCATGCAGGACACTTCTTGGAAAGATCCGACCCAAAGCGCCTGAGGAAGACCCCATGTGGGCTCAAGCGCTCAGCCAGAAATCCCCCCTGTGATGTCCACGTCCTTAGCACAATGCTGCATTGCCAGCTGTCCAGCCTCTGGCTTGGTCTAAGTGGAGGCTCAGCTCACCGACAGGCACAGGAAGCTACTCGGTTCTCTCCTCTGGATTCTGCTTTTTCTCTTCTTGTTGTTGCTAAGCCAAACCAAAGGTTTTTCCCTCCCCAAGAGAGGCTCCCTGGCATCCTATCCTCAACAGTAGACAGCCGCCTTGCTTACCCACTCACAGTCAGGATTCAAGAACTAAGGAAGGGGAGGCAAGTGAAATACCACCTTTTAGTCTTTGTCCCCGAGAAAGAGATTTTCGCATGCACCTGACCTGTTATCCTTCTTGATGCCCAACACCATCCTCATCCTTCAGGCCGTGCTTCAGGGTCGCCTTTCACTGCATTTTAGCCCTGTCTCCTGACTCCCAGCCTCCCTTCTCCTTATGCATTAGAAAAATAGTACAACCCTGACAAAGCTTGCAGCCTTCAACTGCTATGCTTAACCCCTAGTTTACCATTACAAAATCATAGAAGGTTATCATATGCTCCATTCTCCCCCCCACCCTTTCCCCTCTCCCTCCTCCTCCTCCGAATCGCTAAGAGAATCCACCCCTCTTGGGAACTGAGGGTTTTTAAGGCAATATTTCTGAATGCAAAATAGGAAGCATAGTTTACAACCAACCTTACGTGCACAAAATGGAACAAAACGAATCCAACCTCAGTTTTTAAATCATTTGCCCACCAACAATTAATATTACACAAAGTCAAGATGAACAACCAGACTCCAAAAGAATTATCTTTCAGCAGGTCCATTTTCTTTGGCTGTGATATAGATTGCCACATCTTAGTAACAATGCATTTTTAAAATCACACAATGCTATGGTGTCATCTGTGCTTAACATCTTTCAAATATCTCCAAGCTCTCCCCCAGTCTGAGTGTTACAATATCCTTGCTTGGAAGACATATATATACAGTATATGGAGAGTCATATTCTCTCACATGAGATGTGGCTAATGAAGATTTATTGGGGTCCTTGCAGGAGGTGAAGCGCTTCAGATAAATACATGCAAAGGAAAATGAGTTGAAATAAATCTCAGGGCAGGTATGATGCAGCCTACATGCTACAGAAGGTTCAGATTATGCTTCGAGGCACAGGTGCATGCAATGAGGAAAAGGCCATGTTTGATTTACCCTTTCCAGTTGAAATAGGAAGCATCCATTTTCACAGTTTGTGGTAAACCTCTATTTAACTGGGGGCGGGGGTGCCGAGTAGCTGCTTACAATTGGTTCTGCAGTTAGGCATGCAACGAATACATAACAAGCTTTCAGTGCCGTGGTGCCCCTCCTCACCTGCGGATAGAGGAAGATAACTTAAAGGGGACAGAGCTTAGAGACAAAGAGGGAAATCACCAGCAGTGAACTTTACCTTCCTGACAGCAATGACCAGCCAGAAAAGCTGTGGTCATTTTCTCTTCTTAGCTCTCTCTCAATCCCTCTCTCTCTCTCTCAACTTTTCTTTAGCGGTGCCCTAGAGAACAGTTATCCCCTGAACATACTGTTTTAATGACATTTGCTGGTACGGCAACATGCGCCTATAATATTTTTAGTAGCCAATTAGCTTGGTCAAAAGAGCACAAATAATCCTTTCTTAGCTGAGAAAATTGCATCACAGGAGAACGTAACAGGCGACATCATGGGCGACATTAAGGCCTGTGGACCGCTTCTGTGGGAAAAGTTTCTGTTTGAGATTGTAGGAAGTAACAGAAAGAGGGTTTTCCCTGTAGTGTTTGATGTATGACTGTTGTTATACAGCTAGATGTCATCATTTGAACTTGCAGTCGCTGAGTAATTAGCATGAATCAGTCCTTGGGCCCAAACCCTGATCTAACATTACTCTGCTGAATCAGTCCATTGCTCTCTCTGATCCAGCATCCTGTTCACTCAGTGGCCAAGCAAGTGCCACAGGAGGCCAGCAAACAGGAAGGGAGGGCAATTTCATGCACACCCATGCCGGTCAAGTTCCCCAGCAAATGGCATGCAGAGCCACACTCTCTCTGACACCAGATTTTATATATAGAAATCATGGCCAGCAGCCACTCAAAGCTTCATCCTCCATGAATTTGTTTAATCTCCTATCAAAGCCTTCCAAGTTAGTGACTATCACTACATCTTATGTTAGCAAATTCCATAGCTTAACTGTGCACTATGTGAAGTAGTACTTCCTTTTATCTGTCCTGATGGGAAGTCTTTGGGTTCTAATATTATAAGATATATTATACCCACTTTTTCATGCCATGCATAATTCTGTACACTGTTAATATGTCTTCCCATGCTTATTGTTTTCTAAGCTAAATAGCCCTAGATAATAGTCCTCATAGGAAAGTTTCTCCAGTCCTTTGATCATTTTGGTTGCCCTTTTCTGCAGCCTTTTCAGTTCTACAATATCCTTTCTGAGTTGCAGTGACCAGAAGTGCATACATGATTCTAAGTGTGGTCACACCATAGATTTGCTTAAGGGCTGTATGATACTGCCAGTTTTATATTCAATACCTTTTCTAATTATTCTAATTATTTGTTGTTTTGAACAGCAGACACACATCTGGCCGATGTTTGCATCAAGCGCTCCATCACATCTGCAAGGCCTCTCTTGTGTCACTACTGGCCCAGGTTCCATCAGCATATGGAAGCTGGGAATTTTTGCCCTAACATGTATCACTTTACTCTTACTTACATTTAACTGCATTTCATGTCCATTCTTCTAGTTTTGAGATATCTTTCTGGAGCTCTCTGCAATTCTTTTCATTTTAAGCGTGCAAAATAATTGGTTCCATCAACAAAACTTGTCAGTACACTGTTCACTCATAATTCCAGATGATTTATGAACAAATTAAAAAGCAGTGGTTCCAATAAAGAACCTCAAGGAAACCCACTGACTACATTCCTCCATTGGAAAAAAAAATTACACATTCCAACTTTCTGCTTTCTGTTCTTTAACCAATTACTAATCAATAATAGGACTTTTCCTTTTGTTCCTTGACTGCTAAGTTTGCTCAAGAGTCTTTGGTGCAGAATTTTATTGAAAATATTTTTGGAAATTCATGTAAACAAGGTCTTTGCAATTATCCTTATAAACATTTTTATTGACATTTCTGAAAAATTCTAAAAGTTTAGTAAGACAGGACAAACATCTGTAGGTACCATGCTGAGTCTTTACAACAGGACTTGACCTTGTATGTCTGATAATTTTCCATTTAAGAATATTTCACACCCATTTATCCAGAGCAGATGTTAAGTTTGTAGAGTTCCAGATCTCCTCTGGATTCCTTTCTAAAAATTGGTGTTACTTTTGCTACATTCCATTCCTCTTGTACAGACCTATTAGGGACCTAT